AGATGGAAATTCTGGGCTGAGGCCACATAAACAAACCTTGATACTTCCTCTCCAATTTCTACCCCAAGCCCGAACCCCTTTGTCTTGTCAGTTCTTCACAAATTTTATTGTTTCCTTGTCCAAAAGGTATAAAACCTACCTGTTTGGGTCACTTCCCTGGACCCTGTACATATGAAATTCAATTAAATTGTTTTTCTCCTGTTAATCTCTCTTTGAATACAGGGGGTTGTCTCAGCCAAAAACCTAGAAGGGTAGAAGTAAATTTATTTTCCTCCCCCACAGTGCATTCTTTCTAAGGAATGAACAGGGAAACCTGAGGGGGGAGACAGCAGGGTCACAAGAGCTTGGGCAAACAGGTTCCAGCCTGGCGGACCTAACGAGGGCGACTTGCTGGCAGTAGCTTATCCTTGCGGGAGCAGGGACAACACAGGCCTTTCATTAGCAGGAAGACTGGGTTACACGGCCTCACTTGGACTGTGGCAGAAACTTGGCTCAAGTTGGATCGAGCTCTCTCTTTTTTTTAATTTGATTTTATTTATTTGAGAGGGAGAGAGAGTGCACCAGAGCAGGGTGAAGGGCAGAGGGAAAAGCAAACCCCCCGCTGAGCAGGGAGCCCAATGTGGGACTCGATCCCTGGATTCCCGGATCATGACCTGAGTCAAAGACACAGGCTGAACCCACTGAGCCACCCAGGCGCTCCCAGGCAGGATCTTTTAAGGAGAAACAAAAAGAGGGAGAGCAGCATCGTGCTGGGCATCTGCCTGTGACCCCCCCAACGGTACACCCTGCCTCTGCTGCCCACCCGCCCCTGCGCAGACAGAGGCCTTGAATGTCAGCTCATTCTAGGTGAGGCCTGTCAGGCGAGAAACCAGTCCTGTCCCAGCTCAGAAAAAACTGAAATGCTCCTTAAAATTTCCTGCAAAGATCTGAAATCCCAGCCCAAGGGGGTGCGGTGGGAGGAGGTGTTTTCCTAGTAGCTGGCAGACAGCTGGCAGATTTGCGAAAAACAAGGATTAAAGAAGCAATTAGAGGTTTGACAGCCAATAATCAGGGGAAGAAAGCAAGAAGAAACCAGCGGCAGGTCAGCAGGAAGCCTCAGGCCCTTCAAAATTCAAACAGTTGCAAACCCAAACAAGCCTTTCTTCCCTCACCTACCAGATCTGTGAGTAGTGGCTTAAGCGGGGTAGCCTCTAAATGGGTCTGCTTGTCCAGCCGTCTGTCTGCACCCTTTCTTACCCCTAAACTTGATACGTTGTACATATATGTACACCTGCAGTCAGCTTTGCTTTTTTCCTTTCTAGTCAATTTTCTTGAGATAAAATTTACATACAGTAAAATGCACCTATTTTACAGAATTTTAACAAATACATATACCCTGATCAGGATAGAGAACATTTTCATCGCTCTAAGAAGTTCTTCTGGCCTCTTTGCAGTCAGTCCCCTTCCCATTCCTAGCCTCAGCCCCAGGCAGATCAGTCGATGCCTGGGGCTGAGGCTAGGTATGGGAAGGGGACTGACTGATCTCCTTTCTGACCCACTAATGGACAGTTTTGCCTTTTCTAGATTTTCATGTAAATGAAATTATGTATTTCTTTATGTCTGACTTCTCTGTTATTGTTGCCATTGTTCTGATGCTGTTGTAAATAGAATTTTTTAAAAATTTCATATTGAAACTTTACAGCTATCAAAAGTTATTTCTTATATATTGACCTTGTCTCTTAGGATCTTACTAAATTCACTAATTAGTTCTAGTACTTATTGTATAGATTCCTTAGGATTTCCTAGTAAATGATGACATTATCTGCAACTAAGAGAGTTTTCCTTCGGGGAACCTGGGTGGCTCAGTGGGTTAAAGCCTCTGCCTTCGGCTCAGGTCATGGTCTCAGGGTCCTGGGATCGAGCCCTCAGCAGGGAGCCTGCTTCCTCCTCTCTCTCTGCCTGCCTCTCTGCCTACTTGTAATCTCTGTCTGTCAAATAAATAAATAAAATCTTAAAAAAAAAAAAAAAGAGTTTTCCTTCTTCCTTTCTGATCTTTATATCTTGTATTTATTTTTCTTGCCTTGTTGCACTGACTGGAACCTCTAGTACCACACTGAACAAGTGGTAAGAGCAGACATCTTTTACCACCAAATATGTTGTTCGCTATAGGTTTGCTGTAAACACCCTTTATCAGGTAGAGGAATTCCCTCTTAATCCTGGTTTGCTGAGAAAAATGGGTATTCAGTTTTGTCAAATGTTTTCCTGCATCTATGGACACGATCATCTGGTTTTTTCTTTTTTTATTCCGTGCGTATGCTGAATTATGTTGTTTGACTTTCAAATGTTAAACCAATCTCTCATTCTTGGGACATACCTTGTTTGGTCATGAAGTATAATCCTTTTTGTATATTGCTGGATTTGAGTGCTACAGTTTCAATAAGGATTTTTATCCCTTTTAATCCCTGATATACCCCAGGCCTATAAAACAACCTTAAACATAACAATTGCTCAATAAATATGCATTGAATAAATGAATTAATCAAACATCTTCCTCCATGTGGGGGGTCAAAGGATGTGCCCATTTCAACATTTTGGCAAAATATCCGGCCTTCCCTCTGAAAATGTCCCAGGGGTGCCTGGGTGGCTCGGTAGGTTAAAGCCTTTGCCTTTGGCTCAGGTCATGATCCTGGGGTCCTGGGCTCTCTGCTCAGTGGGGAGCCTGCTTCCCCTTCTCTCTCTGCCTGCCTCTCTGCCTACCTGTGATCTCTGCCTGTCAAATAAATAAACAAAATCTTTAAAAAAGAAAAGAAAATGTCCCAGTCTTCAGTCTCACCAACACATTGCCAGGGGATGAATGCTGGTGCTGCTCACTGGCTTTACAGAAAAGCTGGTTGTTGAGCTGGTCTCAGAGGAGGTCCAGCGGAGGAAGGGGGCATCCTAGGCAACAGCATGTTCCAAAGCACAGAGGCATGAAAGATCATTGCATCAGCCACTAACTAGCTGTGCGACCTTGGGCAAATCTGTCCTGCCAAACAACAGGGCTGCCAAACGTTGAGTATCCAACGAGATAATATGTGTGAAAGACCTTGGAAAAACTCTAACATGAAGGCAGCATTACCATTAACAAGGAGGTGGGGAGGCTTGTACTTGTGTCCAGCACAGCCCAGACTAGCTTAGCAAAAGCAAGCAAGAGGCTGGGTGCTGCCATTGGCGTTAGAAGACTTGGTCCCAGCCTCAGACACCTCCATGAGAGCAGCCAGTAGGTAGGGCTCTGCTCCAAGGATGGCATCTCCCTGGGATAGAACCCTGCCCAGAGGGGAGAGGTTCCCTCCTGGTTAATGGGGTCCCGTTACTCTCTCCTTCCTTCTATTCATGCCTCATAAGTCATCTTCAGCTAAGACCAACTCTGACTTCACCAGCAACTAAAGCAAAGGATATGGGAGATCTAGGAAACACAAACTCACTCCCCCCCCTTCTTGTGCTTTCTTTCCTTCCTTTTCTCTTTTTTTCCCATATCATGGAGCACTAGTGTGCCTTTCTCCCTTTCTGAGCTTGGGAATAATGGCTTTAATATGGAGCATTCACCTGCTTGTGTTTTGGATGACTGCGCCTAAGAGCTGTTTTTAAAGAGTCCTAGCAATCAAATACCAGCTCTTGTGTTTGCACACAATTTCCCTTCTGCTTAAGCTCTCTTTGTTTACACACCAGACATCTAGAAGCTTGGTCCGGTCAAGGTACTGCTTTTAACAGCTCTGGAGATTGAAAACACAGTGCTGGTATATTCTGAATTTTGTGCTCTTGGAGAAGGGATGGGAAGGGGGGCGGGATGACAGACTAAGGGGGAAAAGGGTGGCCTGTGATACCAGGCAGATTTTTTGCTACAAAGTAGGTGAGAGGCATGAAAACTTCCAGCAGCAGTAAGCGCAGGAACGCAGAGAAGGAGATGACTTTGGGAGAATTTCAGGAGATGGAAGTGCCTGGTGAGTGATGGGCTACTGAGAAAAAGGGGGGTAAGGGGGCGGAGTCCACGGTAACAGGCAAGTTTCTGGTGTTAGTGGCCGCAGTGCAGATGGTGGTGTCACTACCAGGACAGAAAATACAACAGCCTGGACTGGTGTGGGGAAGGGGAAGAATGGAAAGATGAATTCAGTTCGGGACATTTATTCATTACTTTCTTGGGCATTCCTAGCGGCAGGTACCTTGCCTGGGAACAGCCAGAAATAGAAGAAACAAGATCCGACTCTCCTGAAGTTTACACTCTAGGAGGTAAAAGGTCAGCTTAAAGGAGTAAGTCAGCCAATAACTGCAGGAGGCTGTGTGAGTAAATTAAATGGAGTCATATGATCGCGGGCTGCAGGGCGGCCAGGGAAGGCCTGGCAGACCTGGAGGTAAGATGCCAGGCTGGGTTTGACCCAAGACCATGCAAGTGGAGAAGCTGCTTGAGCTCAGAAGTCTGGGCCGCACATGATCAGAAGGGGTAGACCATAGAAAAATAAGAAATACCCAACAGTATACTAGGGGTACACTGGGTGGGGGTGGCGTCCTGGGCTGTCCTGGTCCCATGTTTTCCCTGGGCTGGATGTGTGAGTACAGAGCTGTAAGCTGCAATACGTAATTGCTAAACCCTTTGCACATCATATCACAGAAACTAAACTGAACTTAAAATAGACTAGAAAACGGGAGGCAAGTGCAGGCCCCGGGTCTCCCTAGCTTTTGGCAAGCCGGGTCTCTCCGCTCAGAACGGGGATCTGGCAGCCTCGGCCGGTTCTCACTCTTGGCGCACTGACCCAAGCCGGCCCCGCCCAGCCGTTCGCTCGGAGCAGACGCCCGCCCACACCGCGCAATCGCCCCGCCCACGTCCGACGCCGGCCAATGGGCGCGCGGGATCCGGGCCCACACCCCCGCCGCGTGCGGCCCCGGGCTCGCGCAGCCGCGTGACGACACGGCCCGGCCCCCGCCACGTGACGGCCGCGCGCCGGACTCCGGCTGGTGTTGGGCTCGCGCCGCAGAGGCCGGTGAGGAGCCGGCGGCCACGCCGCGGAGGGCGCAGGGCGAGGGCGCGGGGCGTCGGAGCGCGCGCGCATGGAGGCGGCGCCGGTAGCCGCCTGAGGGCAGCGGGGCGAGCGGAGCGGGCCTTCTTGCGCATCCCTCGAGCCACCTCGCGTTCGCGGCACCCGGCGGCGGCGGGCCGCGGAGCCGGCGCGGCCATGGCGACGGGCACTCAGCAGAAGGAGAATACGCTGCTTCACCTCTTCGCCGGCGGGTGAGCGTCCCGGCCGGACCCCGCGCACCCCGCTCCCCCACCCCGCGGCCTCGGGCGCCCCGGCCGGTTACCCGCCCTCCCCCGGGCCGGAGCGCCGATTCCGGGAGGAGGAAGTCTCCGCGGTATGGGGAGGCCCCGGGGCGCGGGCCTTCCCCGCCCCGGGCCGCATCTCCCGAGGGTGGTTACCCGCGTTCCCACGCGCATTCCGCTCCCGCGGGGTCTCCTGCTTTTTCTCCTTCTGAACAGTTAGAGGCTGGTGTGACGAGTGTCACTCGGGGGCAGTCCTGCCTGGCCACTGTGGCTCGGTCCGCCCCACATCCTCCCAGCTGGCGGCCCTGGTCGTGCTGCACTCGCTGTCCTTCTGCCTGGGTTGCGCTCCGGGGCCTCTTTCCGAAGGCCCTGGGCGGCCCCGTGGATGCTGGGGGTTGGCGGGGGCGGGGGCGCGCCGGTGACTTCCTCAGGGTCGCGCAGCGGCCAGTTCAGACAGTCTAGAGGGCTGCAGGTGTTGGACATCGGCAGGGGCCTGGAAAGTGCTGGCGAACCGTGATGCTGGCCAGCAAGCCACCTGTGGGAGGGCAACTGCGGGATCGAAGGGGGTGGAATGAGGTCAGGAAGGTGTATTCAAATGCTTCTTAGGGAGCCTCGGTGGCTCAGTCGGTTAAGCGTCTGCCTTCGGGTCAGGTCATGATCCCAGAGTCTTAGGATCGAGCCCCACACTGGGCTCCCTGCTCAGTGGGGAACCTTTGCTTCTCCCTCTCTTCCTGCATGCTTCTGCATGCTTGCTCGCTCCCTCCCTCTTTCTGTCTCTTCCTGTATCTGTCAGATAGAAAATTAAATCTTAAAAAAAAAAAAAAAAGGAAAAAATGCTTCTCACCTGCTAGTGGACACATGCACCATAAGATGTGCCCTGTTTTTGAGAGCTGCATTTTTTTTTGGTCATCATGCATCTGATATTTTTTAGTGGCGGCAATGCATTGTTAGGGAGATTGAGTGGTAGGGGGTTTAGGAACAGAGCTGATTTTTTGTTTCTTCACAAAATAGTAGTGAAAATTAGTATTACTAATTTTCTTTTAATACAGCCAGTGGGTTTGGTTCCTTTTGGAGTTCCAGATATTTTGTCTTGTTTGAGGACCTCACAAGCTTGGCATAGCAATTTTTAAGTGTAGACATTCTGCATAAAATATAATTTTTTCTGGATTATCATCTTGACTTGGATATTAGATGCACCTTGGACTGAGGTATGTTCCTTACTACAAATGAATAATGGTTGAGAACTTACCTGCAAAATAACTATGATGAAAGTGTTTGTACTTCTTACTGTATGTGACCACCCACTCTGTTTCTCCAACCAAAAAATTTTGGTTCTTCGTACATAGGGAGAATTTTCTCATTCATCTCTTCCCTGTGGTTCCTTCTTCATCTTCTCACTTTAACTCCCAGTGTTTCCTGAAAGTCACAGGGGCGGGGGGAGCATTCCTAAATTAATACAGTATATTAACTGGTCATTCTGGGGGAATTTTAAACAAGTTGCCCGTGTTAAAGTCATTTCTCAAGCCAAGGAGGGTAACTTAAAATGATTTTATACTACATGATTTTGATTTCATGTTGTTAGTGAGGTGGGCTTTTAAAAAATCCTTTGCATTCCAGACTGGGAAGAGTTACCTGCTTTGGAGCAGCCTCTGTGAGGTTTGCTGCATAATCCATTGCCCTGTCTCCATGAATCTCCCTACCCGCCCTTCACAGTGCCCTCTGGCTGCTAATTCTCCTACCAAGCAGCGGCGTCTTAAATTGTGATGGAGGAAGGCGGCAGTAGCCGGCAGAAGTCGCAAGGACTGATTAGAACGTAGAGGGTTTATTAGGGTGGTGCCTGAAGCCATTGTCTCTAACAGGTTCCTTCTTCAGCAGCTGCTCAGGATTCCTTGCAGATACTCCGGAAAGAAAATAAATCTTTGAACAGGATGCTTTCAGAGTAACTGATGCATTTTGATTCATTCCCACTAGCTTAAAATATATTACTTCCGTTTCTTTTAGGAAAGAGCATTAAAAGGAGCTAAGTATTGAGTGCTTATTATTTCATAGAGTTAAAACCAGTAAACCCAGTGGTCCCAGCTGGTCCAATGGGAGATGCACTGCTTTGCTCTAAGTAGCTAGTTTCTACTGTTCTTAAACTGGCATCTTTCCAGAAAACTGAAATCCCTGGTCTTTGAAAAGTTAGAGCCCTTTGTGTGTGAATTTGTCATATTTCTACCGTTTGTTGGATAGCCATTGGAAATTAACATCAAACAGGTTTAACACTATCACTAATTAGTGATACTGAATAATTATTTTTATCAGCTATAAGAGGCTTAGGAATCATTGAAAATTAATTTTAGAGCCTGGGAAATAAAAACTATGTCCCAAACAACTCGTAGTCTTTTAAATTTTTTTGATTTTTTTTTTTTTTTTTAAAGATAGTGTCTTGGGCTCTTTGCAAAAGCAGAAATATTCCTTTGCTCTCTAATGGTTATCTTTTTAACACTGTTACCCTTGAAGAAGAGAAGTGGAGGAAGAACCACCCACAAAACAACACCTAAACAAGGCACTTTATTTATTTTTTAAAAGATTTTATTTATTTGACAGAGATCACAAGTAGGCAGAGAGGCAGGCAGAGGTGGGGGGTGGGGAAGCAGGCTCCCTGCTGAGCAGAGAGCCCTGATGTGAGGCTCCATCCCAGGACCCTGCATGACCTGAGCCGAAGGCAGAGGCTTAACCCACTGAGCCACCAAGGTGCCCCTAAACAAGGCACTTTAGAAAGGTTATGTGTATGTGTACCAAATAAAATTCCATAACTACTTTAAAATGGGCTCCTATTCTTTAAATTGCTTTATTCTTAGTAATACATTAATGGCGACATGATAGTGAATTTTCTCAGTACACCTCTCATCAGTCCTTACTGTTCAGTGGTTGCAATGAAGGAGGCAAATACAGTTCCAAGCCCAGTGACTGGAATGTGGACTGAGGATGTTATAGTAAATTTATGACAGGGCTACCAGATTTATTCTGATGACATAATTTCTACTTAATCTCATTTCCGATTTTCTGCCAGCATAAATTACTGGATATCCTTACGTCTACCTGTGTAGTTCCCTGATAACTACTTTTTTTTTTCTTCAAAGATTTTATTTATTTGACAGACAGAGATGACAAGTAGGCAGAGAGGCAGGCAGAGAGAGAGGAGGAAGCAGGTTCCCTGCTGAGCAGAGAGCCCTATGCAGGCCATCCCCATGACCCGAGGGGAAGGCAGAGGCCTTAACCCACTGAGCCACACAGGCGCCCCTTCTCTGATTATCTCGTTAGGATAAACCAGTAAATGATACAGTTGCTGAGTCAAAACACATTTTTAAGGCTTCCCATACCTCCCAGCACTTCCATAACGAGCTCTGATGGTGTTACTTCTGTGGGAGCAAAGCAGCATTCACTTCATGTTGATTTTTAGTATCTTTAGGGACTCTGTTGTTTTCTGCTTTGTTCCCTCCTGTCCCAAAAATCTGGGTAGTGTTGTTGTCAAAATAAAAAATGTAGTCAAACAGATCTTGTCACTACATAACCTATTGTTCTCTTCTACTGTTTAGACTCTCAGTGAGAGAGACACGGAAGTCCTCTTAAGTGGCCCATCTGGTACTAGGACCTTAGGTCTGTTAAGAAAAATCCTTTAACCTTTCTTTCTCAGATGTCTCAGGGTTCGGGTAGTACATACAGTGTTAGTGATGCTGTTCACTAATGGAACAAGCAGTGACAGCCGGGTGAGAACTTGTAGTAGACACGCTCAGCACCTGAAACAGCTGGGCTAAGCTGGCGCTGGTTAGAGGTGAAAGGCCCAGACTGTACGCTTCACTGGTATTTCCAGGCATGATTTTTTTCTTTTGTCATCAAATATACTCACATAGCTTTTATCAAAGTTTTTTTTTTATTTACTTATTTGACAGAGAGAGATCACAAGTAGGCAGAGAGGCAGGGAAGCAGGCTCCCTGCTGAGCAGAGAGCCCGAGGCGGGACTCGATCCCAGGACCCTGAGATAATGACCTGAGCCGAAGGCAGTGGCTTAACCCACTGAGCCACCCAGGCGCCCCTCACATAGCTTTTAAAATGTGTTTTAGTGGGAACATATGTCTTTTAAGATTTTAAAATACATAATCCAAGATATTGTCAAGATTCAGTGTTTCGTGTCCCTGCCCCCATTATGGACAGCTGTCAGCTGGTGTATATACTTCCGTACCGCGCTTGCCTCCATGAGTGTAGTCTGTATCAGCTAATGGTTACTTTGGTAGTGTCAGGCACATGTTCATGCATTCGCCAGGGGACCAATACAGAGAAGATGCAAGACTTAATTGAAATCCTTAAATTTTGGTAAGACAAGAACAGTGTGCATGTGATATTTTATATAGGGCTTATGTATATCAAGAATATAAATTGACTTTTATTTCATCGGTGTATTTTTTTTTAAAGATTTTATTTATTTATTTGTCAGAGAGATCGTGCAGAAGCAGGCAGAGTGGCAGGCAGAGGCAGAGAGAGAAGCAGGATCCCCACTGAGCAAGGAGCCCCATGTGGGAATCGATCCTAGGACCCTAGGATCATGACCTGAGCTGAAGGCAGTGGCTTAACCCACTGAGCCACTCAGGCTTCCCTCGTTGGTGTATTTTTTATATGTTGAGAAACATTTTTAAATGTTGTATGGTGTTTGTATGAAATTCCCACTAGCATTAAGCTTCATGAGAATAGCAATCATGTCTGTCTTCATCACTCGTACGTACATCTTGAGTACAGTACCACACTTGGTACAGATGCTTAAACAATACTTGTTTAATGATTAACTAAGTGAATAAAAGGTAGTGTGTGTCTTACCTGGGGGTTTAGATTTATGTGGCCTGTTAAATTGTGCCAAATGAAGGGAAGCGGTACTTTGATCATTTATGAATTGTGAACATGGTTCTATAGGAAGATTTGCTGAGACCGTGTTG